ACTTTCATATTTAAGCAATTTAAATTTTTCTTGTAAGCTTCAATCCTAATCAGTGAACTTTGACAAGCTGTAACTTCTAATTTGACTATTCACTTATTGTGAAATTTTGCATACAATTATCAATGTAAGTCTTCTATATGCTCAAGAATTTTCAGTCCAATCCTATATACAAATTATGAGAAAACTACCAAAAACTACATTGATATCACTCAGCCGCTAACTTGAAAGGTGAAGCAAAAGTTCCAATAGTGATTTCTTCTTCTCCAACTGTTAAATTTGATTCAAAATTGGTATGCAGCTTGATCTTCAAGTCCTTCAATACCATGCCAAATTTCATCTTAATCCAATTGATAGATCTTCAAATATCATAGAAATCCTACCTAATTCCAAACTGCCAACTTTCGATATGTTCTTATACCAAAACCCAGATAACTTCTAATTATACCATTGGATTACCACAAAATTTTACATATACTTAAAAAATCTAATTATTCAAGCATTATCAAAATTCTAACTATAGATGTGACTCCAATTTTACAAACTAGCCAAGAGTGTTAGCTCTAATTTCATTGCATAAATCCCAAGTTGCCAATACAAACCTTGACTTCCAATAAAAATTGCTAATTCTTTCCAAAACTTACTAAAAAAAACCTTAAGTCTTTGAAACAAGCTCTAATCTAGCTTTCAAATCCTAATCTTCGATCTTTGAATAAAATCCTAATTTGCCCTATGGGGTCATTTTAATGGCCACAAGTTTGATTTTGTCCATGTCTCACAAATGGTCAATCTTCGGATATCAATCTAACCTGTCTTAAGGATTTTTTAGTCCAATCCTACCTTCAACTTGATCCTAGTATCAAGCATACCAACCATTTACCTCTTCTATCTTAATTTTATTAATTTATGGCTTTTCTAAGATAGTAAAAGAGTTTCTATATCCTAGAAGGAAAAAATACTAATTAACTTTTATCTGCTTGCTATTAAGACAAGAAAATAGGCTAAGAGGCTTTCATAAAATCCTTATTAAAATATGTTGAATTCTTGTTAAACTAATATAATAGAGTATTAATTAAAAAATCATTTTTAGCCATATTTTTACTATGTAATTGTGTCACAATATGACAATACTTTTCAAGATTCTTAAAATAAATGTAAAACTATCTTCAACTTTCCATCTTCAAAATGATGGATAAATAGAGTGTATAAATCAAGTTTTGGAATATATTTAAAATATAATATCAATTATTAATAAGATGATTGAATAAGTCTTTTATCATTGATAGAATTTACTTATAATAACACAATACATTCTTCTACGCAACAAACATCTTTCTTTACTAATTATGGTTATCATCGATAACTTGATGCATTTGACTTTTCAAAAGTTAAAAATCTTATAGTAGAAGATTTGATAAATCATTTATCTGAGCTATATACAATAATGAAAGGATGACTAATAGAAGCTGAAGAACAACAAAAGAACAATATAGATGCCTATCGTAAGGAACAATCTCATTTTTACATTGGTGATAGGTATAATTACTTTATCGTAATATTAAAATTATTTGTCTTTGTGACAAATTAGATTATCATAGATTTGAACCATTTCTTATTTGTGAACAAATCAATCATATTGCTTATTGATTACATCTATCAAAGTTTATGAAAATCCATTCCATATTTTACATGACTTTTTTGGATTCATATAAGACAATGAATATTCCAAAAAGAAGATATTTGTCTTAGACTCAAAGGGTCAAATGTCTTAGAATCAAAGTAGTATCAATTTAAGTTGCAATATCTTATTTATTAGCATAGATATAATATTAGCAAATAGACATGAAAGCTAACAAAAATCTTAAAAATATAATAGAAAAGATCAAAGCTTTTCATCAACAATATCTATCAAAATCAAAATAAAGGATAACAAACCTTTGCTATAAAATAAATACAATTTAAAAAAAATTACATTCTACCTTCTATCTTCGTTTGTAGTTTCTATATACTTGTGGTATTAAGGACATGGAGAACCAATAGCCAACAAATTCAACTCAAGAGCTATTATTTGTTGACATGTTGGAAGTTATATTATGATTATTTAAATCTTTAAGATTGTATAATATAGATAAAGACTTCAAGAATAATATGTTCTTCTTTGAATAGATGGCGAGATACAATGCATTTGATATCACGACCTAAGAAAAAAGTCTCAATTTTTGGTGATTTTATTGAAGGTAGAAATAACTCCTCATGAAATTACAAATATTTTATTTGAAAGAAGTTATGAAGGTCTCAATAATGATCAATTAACAAGGTGGTCTTTTTGCCTTATAATGGAATATTATTGATGGCTATGAAGACTTGTCAACTACCTTCAAAGAAAACAAAGATTAGAATATGTAGCAAATACAATTTGTCACATCTTTGACTTTCTCAACATGTCATCACCACTCCTCATAGAACTTGTTTTTGAAAGGGGGAGGGATAATGTTATAGATATATATATATATTTATTATAATTATTACCTAAATAATATAAATAAGTAAAAGTACATAAAAATAGATTAATTTCATAATATCTTCTAATAAAAGCTTCTTAGAAGTTTCATAGATGCTACTTTGATTTTACATATAGGTTAGAAACTTGGTCAACAACTTAACCATATACTATACATTTTGGTAGCTTATAAAATAAGCTGACTATGTGGCATTCATATAAAAAAACTTGCCTAGTAAGTTAAGATATGTGTCGTATAAAGTCAACATCTTTTGGAGGTCCTATAGAACATTGCTATATAGCTTCTAAGTAGATAGTATATATAGAGGCAAGAATAAAGCCTTCTTTATTCTTATCAACTCCTTTCTTGCTTTTATTTTAGTTTAAAGAATTCTCTAATTTTTTAATATACATAATTTTAATTTCAATTTCCTTTTAATATACATACTTCTTTATTTCTATTTTGTTATATTTATTTGTCAAAAGTTTTACTTGTTTATTTACTTTCATTAAGTTTTTGTTCTTGATATCTTGCTTCTTCCATTTCCAACTTTTATCTTAACCTCTTTGTTTTCAACCAATGCTTCCTCCATTTTCAACCTTCATCTCAACCCCCTTCATTTCTAACTACCACTCACTCCATTCTCAACCTCTGCTCCTTTTGTTCCTATTCTTCATCCCAACCCCTTCTATTTTCAATTTGTACTTTCATCTTTCTTTACATTTTCTGACCCTCATTTCAACCCCTTCTTTTTTCAATCTTTGCTTTTAATCTCCCTCACATTTTCTAACTTTTATCTCAATCCCATTCTTATGTAAATAATAAGTATAAAAATAAAAATAAAAAATTATACATTTGGAGATTAAGACAACTTGGGTTATAAAATCTATGAGCTATATGGAATTAGCCTAAATCTTTGAACACGATCTATTGTGGTAAAATATAGAATAAGACTCACTACTATAGCTCTTAATAATAAAACATAGCATAGTCCACTTGCAATTTTTTCATTGTCATTCTCAAATGCTTCTTTTCTTGCGATGAATGTTGGAAAGGAAAAGAACGGAGGTTAGGAACAAAGGAGGTTGGGAACAAAAGAGGTTGGGAATAAAGAAAGCAAAGACTGAGAATGAGGAGAGTTGGGATGAGGTTCATGATTCTAATGATGGTTTTTGAAGATGATCCATTTTTCTAATGATGGTTACAAAATAGTGGATTGATTTAGTAAAATAGTGGATCATTTTAACATTTCCTTGTATGTATATGAATATATATGTTTATATATATATATATATATATATATATAAGAAAGCCTTAAATTTAATATCAATATTATTATTTTTTTTGTAAGACTTGAATTAGACTAATTGGCTAAAGTCTTAAAAATGTTACTATTTGTGAGTTATTATAAAATTCAACATTTAATAATTTGTAGATTATCTCAAATAGACAAAGTTCTAGAAGTTTCATTTTCAATAAACTTTTAAATGATTTTCATATTGTAATCAATTTAAATGATATTGAATCTTCTGAGTTTGATAATAGAATAAAAGAAATTTAAACTTTGTATAAAATGGTAATTTTTTAAAACAAATAAATAACTGATAATCTAGAATTATATTATAACCAAAAAACTTATGTATTAATATTATCCATAACTTTTGACACAATTAAAGACTGTTTTAATGCATGTTTGACCATGGGTAGCCACCATCAAAGATGTTTGACATTATGGTGTTCAAAGAATAATATGCTTGTAAATGACCAAAGCTTTTTGGCACAACTCTTGGATAAACGTTTTTTAAATCAACTATTAGTAATCAGTTCATATTCAATTTATAAAATCCTGATCACGTCTGAATATTTAGTAAAAATACGTTGAAAGCAATCATTTTATCCGAAGGTGGGGTTGAAATCATTCTCCTGACTTAATCCAAAAAATTAATCTACAATGCCAGGTTTATTGAATTGAATGTGGGGCCCCGAGTGAATAACTACATAAATTCAAGATAGGAATTCAAGACTCGAGCAAAAGACAAGATTCAACTCATACTAAGTCACAAGAACAAGTTCAGGCATTTTTTCTTTGACCATGACACCGCCACCACTTGAAGAAGGGACGGCACAATTTGGCACAACTAGACATTTGGTACAATTCTTATACAAATTAAAATTTCAACACGTACTTATTCATTTGTAAAATTCTATTTCTATTCGATACATATAAAATTCAAATAACTTATTTCATCAAATATAATCATTAATGGTCTACAATGACCAAAGAACAAGATACAAAATAAATGACAATCCAAATTCCATCGAGACTATCTGATGCTCCAAAAAGCTGGGAAAAAGGAATAATATTTATACACATTAATTCTTGAAGTCATCTGTTTACAAAAGTAATAACTCAAAATTATCGAAATTATTGTTGTAATAAAAGGTAACATATTTTCAAAAAGGATCAAACAAAACCACAAAGATCACAGTTTCACCAGAATGTGGTAGGAGACATGCAGTGTTTATTTCAAATACTTTATTCATTTGATAATGTTGATAATTTTCATAATGTAGAATTACTACGACTAACAGATTAGCATTATGGGGGACAGAAAATGGTCATCATACTGTAGCACCTCACACTGCATCTTCGAATTGCAATTTGTGTAACATTTCAATATTAGTGGGGCTGGCAGTGGTGGTGATGCTAGAAAGACAAGTCTGACGTGGATCAAATCTAAGTTATATCAGAAGACCGCTACAGAACTTTAAAAAAAAAAAAAAAAAAAAAAATAGTTTGACTAAGCAACTTGTAGGCCAACATCAACCACCTTACTTGCAGGGATACGTTGCCTCTTCTCAACGTGTGACGATGGAAACCATCCTGCTCTTCCTCTAGTTTCTCCTTCTGACCATCCAGTTGAAGAGACCTGCCACATAAGAAAAACTCGTAAGAACCCACAATTGAAGTTCATCAAGGCACAAAGCAGTGTTCAGGAGAACGTCTAGTTAAATAAAACATTAGAAGATTGGATCAATTTTACCTGACGGACAACCACATAATCTCCAACTTGTAAGCCTAACTCGCCTCCCTCTTCTGGTTCAAATGGGTACATCACCTGCAAAAAGACAGGATCGTTAGTCTACAGCGGAGACAACGGGAAAGAAGAAGCTTCGACTGCCGGTCACATTTGACTCACGAGGCACGAGAGAATTCAGAAGTTCATGAATCGGAACTACAGTCAGCCGATTGCTGCGCTGCACAGGTGCAGTTTGATGAGTACCTCTGCAAGGAAATACAATGACTTTGATGGCTTAGAGCCACTCTCATGCTGTGACGCGTCGTTGACTTTGACATCATCATACGAGGGCGGTGCATATGAATCGCCCGTTGATGGTGCGTTTGTTTCATTCCGTTGACGCTCAGATGCCATCTGCAATTTGAGGGTTCAAAATTGGTGACTTCTGTGAGCAAGATGAGGTACATAGCATCAAGATAAATGCAAACTTGACCAAAGTAAGCTGTACAAGTGTGACCTACGTCTACGTGTGCTTTGCCACATTAAAAACTACAACAGTTGACCTTGCACATGCAAATAGTCTTTCAGCCAATAAGTCCGTGTTTCAGAGCACATACTTGTCCTTGGAGCTGTTCCAAAATCTCTGCTGCCCGCAGATGATATGCGCGTTCAGCTTCAACCTGAAGCATGGAGTAGGATCAGCTCAAGCCCAAACAAATGAAGGCCAAAACTATCCAACAATGGTTGACTAGCACTTGCAAGAAGAAAACACTTCCAACCTGGAAAACTACATGACATCCTCGGTCCTTTCACTACGCTGTATTCTTCTATTGTTCATGCTCAGACCATGCTGGAAACCCTAGCTTTCAACATATTCCAAAGTATTCAAGCATGTTTTAAAGGATGATATATACAGCAGAGATAACAACAAAAGTTTCATAAAATCATTCAACGCCGCTCCTCTAGTTTTCTAATCTTGTGAATTGTCCAGCAGAGTTCATCACAACGAGGTCATTTCATAAATGATTAAAGACTAAATTGGAACGCAAGTATTTTTCTAAATTAAAATCAGAAAAACAGTGAAACCAACCATGGACATCAGTCGTTGCAATGTTTGCCGTTGTTGTTGGGCTTCTACTGAAGTCATGGCAGCAGCAGCTTCCTTCCCGAGTACAGCCATGGCTGATAAAAGTTCTCCCATTTTCTGTTCAGCTAACTGAAGCTTCTGATCGGCGTCTGGATTCCCCTCCTTGCTCCTGACCTGCTTTCTTCCTACATCCAAAGCCTGCCGAGACATATTTAAGTCCACTACAATTACTACCAAGTAAAACATAACGCTATAATATTTAAATGAAAAAACACATTCCACGTATCGAGAGAATAACAGCAACTAAAACTGATCTCCTTAGGAAGATTTATGTCACAATATTCGGGAAATCGAACAACGCGTACGCAGATAACCCAAACTAAGCTACTTGACACTTGAAATTTAATCTGCTGATTGAGATACTAAATTATGAGTTAGTGGTCACAAGCCACTTAAAGAAAAACAGTATACCTGGTTTTCAGCCTCTTGACGCAAGCGCTCATACCGCTGTGTCAAGAGACGTGCGTCTTCTAAGGGAGCACCCATCACCATTGATCTCAAAGGTTCTGCCACCTGTTAAGTACACATATCATTGAGTTTCGAGAACGTACCGTTGGAATAGGTTTTTTCCTCAACCAGAACAAACGACCACGAGCAGAACACTGATAACCGGAGTAAAATAGTGGAACTAACCAAGGAATAATTAAAAAGAAGGATGACTGGCACTCTGCGCACCAATAACTAGACGTACTTAAACAACCTCTACAGTACAAAGGTTATCAATTAACGAACCTGGGTACCGATAAATCGATGCATATTATCGCGCTCGTTCTCCATCTGCTTGCGGGCACTTCCAAAATGAAAGGAAGCTTTAGCAAGCACCCCTGAACTGCTGGGTCCTTCTGTGGCATACTTGCGACAATCGTCGGCAAGCTTGTTGGCTACAGAAGAAGCACATAAAATTCTCATTACAGTGATCGGCCAAGTAAGAATCTGGAAGAGCTTTCGTGTTACAAATCATACAAGTCACACAAATCATATTGAAAACTGTCGCTTGAAGAAGGTCGATATTGATTAACAAACTAGGATTCTTTTTTTTGTTGGAAAGAAAAAGAGCGAAAGCAATGACTTGAAACTATACTGTAGGACCTACCAACTTCGTATTGTTTGACGCCAGTAGATATAATGCCCTCCACGCCACGCACAATTTCTCGTTGAAAGTGCTGATATTCAGAAAGACACGTGCAAAATAAGCTACTACTTTAAACCAAGTAACATACGATGCTAAACCAGCTCAACACAGATTGCCCTTTGCAGAAACTGCCGCTTCATTTGGAACATAAAACTCCTACAAGCCACTTCGTCGAAGCACAGTTACAAGTGGCACTTTCCTAAAAATGCAATGTGCACTGGACGAACCTTTGCAATCTTTGTAGAGGTATAAAGCCTCTCGAGTTGATGATGTCGTTGAAGCTCTGCCTCATCAATAATCAATTGGTCTCCTGAACCGTGACTTGAAAAGGACTTAAAGACGGCCTGGTTGCACATAAATACGTGTTAGATATTCATCAAAGAATGGTGATTGCCTGTTAACAGTACTGCCAAATCTTGTCGCTTAAAGATGAGCTAAACGCACCACATACCAATGCAGTAACGACCTTCACAAATGAAATCCATGTGGATCGCTTAATATGCTTGACCTTGTTAGACAGCGTTCCAGCTTCCACTACTAAGAAAATATATACTATCAGCTGTAGCAACTATCTATGTAGATTATGTTAAGCGTAGAAACTGTTTACAAGCAGTTGATAGAAAAACAGTATGTTGCATGCATTCATAGGCAAAGCAAGAAGCACGGCAAATCCAGAGTTTAAGAAGGCATTAAACAATAACGTATCATTGTAGGCACCTGCTGTTGCTTGGCCACTGAATCTCTGAACGCACTTGCTCGTTTCCTAATTGCATCCATTTCTGCACACACTAGTAAAAAAATCAGTTCCTTGCGAATGTCTGCACTTCAAATTCCTGACTCGACAGTTCGAATGCAGATCACAACCCTAAAATTATGGATCATTCTGCAATGAACTCATGAAATGATCCTAAAATAACCTGCTGCTGATGTGTTTACAGAGCTCATAGACACATCGGAGGTGGGTTGGGACTCCTGTGGCTGATTCTCAAAAGATTAATGTATCGTATTTCATGCTGAAAATGATTATAGGGCACCAGTTAAAATTCCATCTGTACGCTAGGTTACAGTGCCGTTCTATTTTGTCAATACGTGAATGTTCTGCCTAGCTAATAGATCCATAAAAAGAGATCACATCAGTTGGATCTGCCAAGATAAGGACTTTTTGTTGCAAGACTAGCGTTACTGATGGCTCAAATCCTCAACGCCGGTTGACTAACTCCAATACCGATAAGTAAAATCAGGTACAATCAGAGCACTAACACCAATCAGAAAAAACAGAACCTTAAGCAAAAAGATGGAAAATCCCAATGTGGAAACACATTACTGCAGAATGACTCGTTTCAAATTGAAGGAAGTATTGCGTGACGACCAAGGTCAACACATCCAATGACCTCTACGAACCAAATACGCAGGTTGGATTCTTCTATTATGAACGTTAAGGAACCTAGAGCTCAGGCTGCGACCCAGAGTCGAAGCAAATGACCTAAACCTCCAGATCCTTGCGAGGATGGGTACGCACCCCTAACATAATCACGCCACCTAACAATCAATGTACAAAGGGCAGAGCACCCAGATCGTCAAGACCTTCACCAGTACTCTTTTCTCACAGCGTCGGCCTCGGTCACGACACACAGATCTGCAATCCGCCACCCAGAAACGCTACCACTCACCACCACCTCTCACCACCACAACCAGCCCACGAACACCACGGTACCAGCTCTCCGAAGTCTAGAATCTACAGTGATTCCTCCAGCGAACGAGCCCACAAGTTACAGCGCTTTCCCAACACGAAAGAAATGAGTGTCGCGGCTATCAAAGCGACTCAACGAAAGGGGATCTGATGGAAACCCGGCAAAATATACAACGAGCACGCGGATGGAAGAAGCAGCGAGAGAGCAGAAAGCAGAGAGGAAAGAAATGGTCAACGAAACAGGACCGATCCGGACAGCAGGAAGGGGAAGCGCTCCCTCCCTCGCTCCCTCCCTCGCTCGCTCCCTTCTCTGCTCGGCTCGGCTACGCCGCTGGACACTGAAAGGCCGTGGCTATGGCGCTGGCCTTGGTTGGGAAATGGCTATGGCGACGGCGATTGCGATGGACGGCCTCTCACTCACGTCATGGGGGGGAGCACCAACGCCATCGCTTCTCCTTCCTCCCCTCGACCCAGTCCCCCCCGTGACGTGGACTGCCACGATGGATTCTTCCTGACGTGGCAGCTTGAGTGCCACCTAGGCTGATGCTGCTTCATGCTTCATGCTTCACGCGTTTGGTTTCTGTGCGTTCACACGTGGAGTTTCCTGACAGCTTTCAGGTTTTCGGCCATAATAGTTTGTGTTTTTATTTTCAATGAGGATATTCTTATTTGGAATCTAAGAATGATGATCGTATATAGGTAAGGCAATAAAATAATTAGCAGTGATGAAAGGAGGCATGGAAGGGATTGGTAGTTAGGGATAATTTAAAATTCTTGTTCTAAATTCTTATTTGGATTTTATTGCAACTTTTGTATCCAAATTGTTTACATCCATAATTTTTGAAGAGGCAACCATGTGATTAAAACCTTTGATTTAAGTAGTTTATAGAAATTACTATTTAAAATGAAAATTCACACCATGGTTTTGATGTGAATAGATTTGTGACCAATTTATAAATTAGATGTCCTTTGCACTTGAGTACAATTTTAAAATCTATTAAACCCTAAATTTATTCAATAACAGAAAACAACAATGTATTATAATGTTTTTATTAACTTTCTGTTTCTATATACTAATTCCTAAACCACAGTATTATACAAAATACATGAATAAGATTGTTTTTTTTTTGCTCTAATTTTTATTACAGGTCTATCTTAGTGAATAAATTAGTGGAATTAAGCTTATTCATTAGTTTGTAAGTTTTTATGTTCTATGAATCTTATGTAGTGTCCTTCTAACTTTAATTACAGAATATTCTTGTTGGGGAGTAGAATTTTTTTTTTTTTTTTTTTTTTTCTCATTACTTTGCAAACATTCTAAAAAAAATTCAAGTTATATTGAAACACTCTTATGATTTCAACTTAATAAAATCAATTATTAAATCTAGTATTTTTTTCTTGTAATTATAAAATAAAATCTAAAAAATAGATATATTTTTAGGAAGTATGATTCTATATCTAATGATATTTAAAATATTATACTATGTAGATTTTAGACCTACCATCCATTTAAATAAAATACTATTATTATTATTATTTGAAAAAATATGTTTAAGCTTCTTTCTTCTTTTTTTATAAATTATTATAAATTATACTCATTGTGTATATTTTTCTATATACTATTTTTTATTAATACTAATTTACATTTTATCATAATATAAGTCCTACAAATAAATTTTAATTAGTAGAATTATTAAAAATATAATTTTAAATTATTTAGACATAAAAATATTAAGATTAGAGAGATTATTTAATTATTTAATTATTATTAGAATTTAGATGGTTTTATAAGTTATAAGAGTCTGATTTTAAAAAAGTCATAAAAATAAGGTCTTGCTAAATTTTGAAGGCAATTATCTTGGTTGGTTTGGTATTTTTTTATTAATGGTAAAATTTAGTGCTTGATTATTAAGATCAACTTCTACATTTATCTAATATCTATATATATTTTTGATAAAAAAAAACCCTTTGGATATTTGTACAAAGTATAATTGTGGTTTTTGATTAAAAAAAAATTATCACAAAGTATAATTGTGGTTTTTTTAAATACATATTTGGAATTTATTTTGAAATTTGTAGAGTAATTTTTCAAGACTTTGGATAAAATAATTTTTACTACCTTGGGAGGCTATGATGCAGAATTTGAGTAAGATTTGAAGGCCTAATAAGGTTCTTAGAAAAGTTGGATGTTTTTGAACACATTGGTATATTAATAAAAAAATAAAAGACTTATAGCTAATATAGTAGTTATGAGAAGAAGTGTGCACATGTTTCATACAGGTTATAGCACCTTGGATGTAAGTAGGATGATAAGACTAAGACCTTGTGGCCTTTCTAAGATACACATATACATTACTTGTGAGTCTTAGTGAGGTTCAAATCCTTACTATTTTTAAAATTTTATTCTTGAGATAAAACATATTTATTTATCTTTTTATTTGTGATATATCTTATTCTAACACTAACAATTGTAAAAAAATGTATTAGACTTATCTTATAAAATGATCTTCTTTATGTTTTTTTTAAAAATTGCATTGAAAACAGTTAAAAAAAAGATAAAATATATATATTATATATATATTAAATTTATTTTTTGTATAAAATAAATTTATGTATATAAATATTTTTATTTTATCTTTTATATAATCTAATTTTTTTAAAGATTATTTTCATATTAAAAAATATATTCAATATATAATCTTATCTAAATTTTATTTATAATATGTTTTTTATTTTTTTAATTAAATATATTTTTAAAAGAAGATTTTTATTTTTATTCTTCTTCAATTATCATTAATAATATATGATATTTTATTGATAGATTATTAATAAGATTTAAAGGACATGAATTATATAGAATTTAAAAGTCAATATACTCTTATATTACTAGAAATGACCGGAATATCACTTGAAAATAGTATGATATTAGAACAATAATGGCTATTACTAAGTACAAGAAGATGAGAGACTCTTAAAACAACACTAAGAACAAAAAAGATATTGACAAGAATAAAAAAGATCTTGCTATTGCTTTCATATATATTATTTAATTAACAGCTATATAACAATAGTCTATTGGACCTCCAACATATGTCCAACTTGTAAGATATACATCTAATTTGTAAAACAAGTTTCTGTAATGTGAGCCATATAGCCACCTTGTACCATGAATGGCTAATATGTATAATATGTGGCTAATTTTTTTACCACATTTTCAACCTATCAATCTTCTATTAACACTTTTAAAGTCAAATTTATATTTATGAAGCTTTTAAGAAGCTTACATACAAGATAATTTCAAATTTATCTTCTTTTATTTCTATCTATTTTTTTTTATTTAAGTAATTGATAGTGTCAATTATATTTTGACATTACCTTTTTTTTTAGATATGAGTTTCACAATGAGTAGAAATTATATGTTGAGAAAATCAAAGATACAATAAATTATATTTTCCATATATTTTAATCTTTATTTCTTTCGAAGATAGTTGATAGGTCTTCTTAACCATTTTTAGTGTTTCTTATCAAGGCATAAAGACTATCTTGATATTTATTTATTATTGATGCTTTTATAACTCCATTCAAATAAAATATTTAAAATACCATTAAGAATGACAATTCAAGATAGCAATAATATTTTTAAGAAATTTTTAAATTATTTTCTAATTTATGAGAATTTTTGTAAATAGTACAAAATGTGCCATCTTTGTGAAATATTCTACTATCACAAATATAGATTCATAAGAACTTAAAATTAAAAAATCTATAAAAAAGTCCATAGAAATAAAAGTTCTTAATTATTTTGATATAAATAATAGCTAAAAAAGTCCATAAGATTGATGACATGGAGTTTTTGATTTTGAAGATACATCACATGATTATACAAAGTCTTTAATTGAATTCTAAGTTGAGGCCACTAAAAATCTCTTAACATAAGTCTTATTATATTTAAAATGTTTAATAGTTGGGAAGTCATGATGTTGTATTATGTGAAGTATTGCTTGAGAGTACACTAGATACCTAACTATAGAAGATAGAATGGAAATTGTAATAATAAAATCTTAATTGTAATAAAATACTAAATATGCTCTAATTAAATTTTAATAATGCTAAACAAGCTTTAATCAAATTCAAAATAAATCTTAAATAAATTACAAAAGAAACAATAAGAAATCTTAAAGGAGCTCAAAGAAAATCCACAATAAATTTTAAAAGAATCTTTAAGAAGTTCTAAAAAATATTAAAATAATCACAAATATATCTTAAATAAATCTCAACAAAGTTTTAATTTAATCCTAGTTGAAATCCTAGAAGTCTTTAATTTAACCTTAAAAAAATTCTAAATCTTAAATCAAATCCTAAATCAAATTCTAAATTCTAAATCAAATCCTAAATCAAATCCTAGACAAATCTTAAATCCTAAATCAAATCCTAACCAATTTCTAATCAATTCAATCTAATCCTAGCACTATTTAAAACCTTGATATCTATCAATCAAATGTTTGGTCTTATCTAAAAATTTAAACACTTTTAAAAATCTAAATTGGCAATAGTACACAAAATTTGAAGATAATTGCACTTACCAAATGGAAGAAAAATCCTAAAATCTACTCAAGTATTAGCCAATATCCTACTTCAATTTGAAGGTTGAATTTTCAATGCCTATATCTCTTTATTGAACCATTCAATTATTCTCAAATTTCACATGTGTATAGAGAATCAAGTCTATTATCTTTAAATATAAATTTTATCTCAATCCAATTAGTAAATTGCTAAAGCTCTTAGAAATCCTAACTGCCTTTCAAAGTCTAATTTCTGAGAT